TTGACAAATTCTATTACTTTAACTCTCACTACATTCCTCTTATCAAAGAACTAAACAAAATATTATAAGTAATATATAATTTCGAGTATCCGATACTTCAAAATTAAGTATCCGATACTTCAAAATTAATAAAAAATTAATTAAGAAGTATCTGATACTTTTAAGAAGTATCCGATACGTATCCGCGAGTATCTGAGGAGTATCGGTATCCAATAAGTATCCGATACGGATACGTCACCCTTTTTGAAGTATCCGTGCTTCATAGATTAAAGTGTAATCTATAGAGCAAAGGATTAATGACATTTTGCCCCAGTAATAAATTTTTTATTTTTTATACTTCGCACCTAATAGTTTTATGAATGTTGCACTTTACACCCTGTAAAATAAAAAATTGTAGATTGTACCCTACAATTTTGTAAAAATTACACTTTGTACTTTTAGTTTTCACTATATTTTTATTAATTTTTAAGAATTAAAGTTGTAAACTGCAATATATACAAAATAGGCAAATTATGACAATAGTCTTTATACTTTGGTCCTTATGTCATTTTACTTTTTGTAATTTTAATTGGCTCGATTTTGACCCTTAATTTATGATTTTGTTTCAATTTGGTCAAATTAATTACAACTCTTAACATTTTTTATGAAAAAATACGTATATAAGTGACATATGTCATATTTTTCAGAACAAAATTATAAATTTACTCAACTCAATGAGTTAATCTCAAGCAATTTAGTAATTCTTTTTCCTCAAAAACGCTAAGAACATTATCAATTAGATCAAATTGACACAATATCTAGAATTAAGATTTAATATTGAGCCAATTGAAAGTGTAGGGACCAAAATGACATAAGAGGCAAAATGTAGGGACCACCAGTGTAGTTTGTCCTACAAAATAATAGTCAAAAGTTTTTCCTTTTGCACTTGGAGTTTTTGTTTTCAAATTTTTTTTTTAAAGACTAACGTATAAGTCTTAATAGGTAAACTTATTGTCCAATAGATTTTATGATAATTAATGCATTTCTCATCAAACATTATTAAAAACGTCTCTAGTTGTTAATTTTCAACAATAGTTTAAAAATTATCACAAAAAATGTCACTAATTATAAATTTTATTAACAGTTTAAAAAAATCGTCACAAAAAACATTAATATTTTTCAACTTTCAACGACACTTTGAAAAATTCATCACAGAAAAATATTAATAATTGTAGGTTTTAGTGACTATTTATAAAAACATGACAAAAAAAATCGCTAATTATTAATTTTTAGCGACATGCAAAAAATCGTCATAAAAAATTATTTCTAACGACGATTTTAGTAGGACTTATTTTCAAAAGGATTTGATGAGAATTTAATCAAACTATTATGATCTATTGATAGTTTACCTTTTTTGGATCCTAATGTATCGTAAGTTATGAAAATCTCGAGATATGATCTAGTAGTCGAAACAAAAAAATGTATTAACATAGAGAGACAAAAATTTAAAGACAATGTTCAATCTATCCATTTTCCAAATCGATCCAATCCATTCATTCATAGAGACATAATATCATTCTTCCTTATTTTAACAAAGAGAAAGACATTCAATACAATGACGGAATACTTAACAAAATAAATATATATATATTTGTACGGGGTGAAATATCCTCTGCTTTCCGTACTCCTTGTACTCTGAGCTTCTCTTGACGGCGTCTACCTGGCAACACAGAAACGGTGAGCTGCCCGGCGGTGGTGAGCCGGATAGACCCTTCGACGATCAAGTCAGTTCACTTGAGGAAGAGGAAGAAGACGGAGAGAGAAGCTCAGAGTACAAAGAGTACGGAAAGTAGAGGATATTTCGCCCCCGTACAATTGGCGCCGTCTGTGGGAAGTTTTTTGATACTCAACCCTTGTTCTCAGAGCTCTTTCGACCATTTCCATGGCCAACAACGGCGAAGCCTCACTGTCCGTCGTCGATGGCGTCACCCTTGAGTACGTCCGCTTGAGAGAAGGTCCTCTGAATATTCCAGCCATGGCAGGCCTAGAAACTCCTTCGCGGAGTGCGCGAGACAAACGCGGAAGGAGTGCCGATCGCTCGCAGAGTCCTGGGGGCCGCAGACGCCGGGGGGAGTCCCAGGCGCAGCGCCTGGAGCACAAACTCAAGGACCAAGACGCCGTCATTCGCAAGATGGCGGCGGAGATGGAGCTGCTAAAACGCCAGATCAAAAGAAAGGGTGTTGCTGGAGAGGGCAACCTCAGTGAGCGCACCCCGTCCCCTCGTTGGAGCAGTCGCCACCAGGGGAGAACCCACTCTCTCTCCATCACCAGGAACTATGGGGTTGGGGGCTCTAACCAGGGGGAGAGCAGGTCCCTCTCTCACGACAACACATACCGCCCCTCACGCCCGACGCCGATGTCAGGATCCTCTTTCTCCACACGTTCCAGGGACTTGATCGATGTATTGGAAGAGAGGGCGCGCTGTCGGGAGGCTCGAAGAGTGCCGGCATTGCAGAAGTTAAACGCTCCAGTGCGTTACAATGAGGAAGTGGTGATGCCACCCCCCAAAGTGATGGCCCCTGCGCTGGAGGACAAAGAGCTGGCGCGACTTACAGCCACACCGTTGTCTCCAGAGATTGAGAGTACGCCACTCCCCGCCGGATTCCACCAGCCAAAGTTCACTTTGTATGACGGCAAAACGGATCCGTACATGCACGTGAGTCATTATCGGCAGGTGATGGCTGCCCACCGGCGCAACAACGCTCTGATGTGTCTCATATTCCCAGCAAGCTTGGGAGAGCTGGGTCTGAAGTGGTTTGAAAGGCTCCCGGAGGGGAGTATAGAGGGGTGGCAACAGCTAGCAGAAGCCTTCGTCACCAGATTCAAGACCAACACTCGAACGCCGAAGGAGGTCGACCATCTCCTGGGCGTCAAGATGGAGTCTGGGTGTTCGTTGAAATGCGAAATACTGGGAAACTTACAATGAGATCCTCGACTGCCCCACCAATCTGGCGATCACTCAGTACAAACGGGGTCTCCCAGTCGGACATAGGCTGCGAGATTCACTCACGATGCATCAACCTACAACCATGGAGTCATTGATGCAGCGGATCAATGAGCACATTCGTGTGGAGGATGATACCGCCTCTGCGACCGAGAAGGTTAATCCGGTCGCGGCGGACAGGAGGGTCGCGAGGAAAGTTCACTCGGTTGGGCAGGAGGATAGCCGCCCAAACAACCGGTCGAAAGACCAGCGCCATGGTCCAAACCGTGATGACAGAAACAAGGGGCGCCGAAACGACCGGGCATACCCTCCCCGTGATGCAGTGGAGGATTCCAAAAGAAAATTGAAGGCACGGACTGGGATCACCACGGTGTTTAAAATCCCCATTTACCGCATTCTGAGCGAGATTCGAAGCGAACCCTTTGTCCGTTGGCCAGCCAAGTTGGGGAGTGCCCAGAGAGGCTTCAATTCAAAATATCGCTGCACCTTTCATGAAGAACGAGGGCACCGAACAGAGGACTGCCTGCCGCTCAAGCAACACTTAGAGGAGTTGGTAGCGGCGGGGCATCTTGACCAATACATAGATGGGGGCATCAAGGCCACGCCGGCAGACCAAGTCGAGCCAAATGGCCTGGCCGCCCTAGAAGCGCCTCCGCAAGGTGTAATCAACGTCATCCACGGAATCATTGAACCGGCCAGGGTTTGCGAGCTGAGGGGGATGATCAAGAAGGCCGAGCACATGAGGGAAGTGCTCTCTGTTCAGCCCGTTGTGAAGAAGGGAAAGACTGAAGAAAGGGACATCCTTTCATTCTCATCCAAGGACTTGGAAAGAGTTCAGATGCCGTACAATGATGCCTTAGTAATCACTCTTCGCGTCAAGGACTTTGATATCAAGAGAATCTTGATCGACCAGGGGAGTTCGGTCGAAATCATGTATTATGACGCGTTCAAACAGATGAAGTTAGAAGACAAGGACTTGGCCCCCGCGACATCTCCTTTGGTCGGTTTCAACTCACAGCCGGAGTGGCCAATCGGAAAGATTATTTTGCCGGTCAAAGCAGGTTTAGTAGTAAAGCAAGTGGAGTTCTGGGTGCTCAAAGTTCCTTCCACCTACAACTTGATCTTAGGTAGGGGCTGGCTGCACGCCATGCAAGCGGTTGCCTCAACCTTCCACCAAGTCATGCGCTTTCCGGCGTCGAGCGGGCAAATAGAGGAAGTTTGGGGAGACCAGGTGATGGCAAAACAATGCTTCGTTACGATAAATGGCAGCCGAGCAGCCAAAGGGTTTGTTCAAATGATCAAGGGGCCCGAGGAAAAAGAGGTCCTTGAAGACGTGGGAAGGAAGGCCGAGGAAAAATCGGTCGAAGATTTGGTGGAAGTGCGCTTTGACGAAAACGATCCAACTAAATTCTTCCTCTTGGGGTCATCTTTGTCCAGCGCCGAGCAAGCGGATTATGTCAACTTCTTGGTTTCCAATTTGGAGGCCTTTGCTTGGACGCCTTACGACATGCCTGGCGTCGACCCGAGCTTCATCTGTCATTAGTTGAATGTTTTCCCCAACGCACGGCCAGTCATTCAAAGGACGCGCCGTTCAGTCCTGCACCATGCTGAAGTGGTGGCGGAAGAAGTGAAAAACTTGTTGGAATCCGGGGCTATAGAAGAAGTGCAATACCCTCGGTGGATATCCAACACGGTGGTTGTTCCCAAGAAAAATGGCAAGTGGCGAGTCTGCGTTGACTACAAGACTGTCAACTGGGCTTGTCCTAAGGACAACTTTCCCTTTCCTCGAATTGACCAGCTGGTGGACTTGACCGCTGGCCGTCAGAGGTTTAGCTTCCTGGACGCTTATCGCGGCTACCACCAGATAGCCATGTATAAACCAGACAGAGAGATTATATCGTTCACCACCCCCAGAGGATTATATTGTTACAAAGTCATGCCGTTCGGACTAAAGAACGCCGGAGCAACCTTTCAGCGGATGGTTACTAAAATGTTCGCTCCTCTCTTGGGCCGAACAATGGAGGCCTACATCGACGATATGGTGGTTAAGAGTAAGGAGAAGTCAGAACACCTCACCGACCTAGCAGAAATGTTCGCCATACTTAAGCACCATAAGTTTCGTCTGAACGCCTCCAAATGCGCCTTCGGAGTTGGCACTGGAAAGTTTCTGGGTTTTCTGGTTACAAACCGAGGGATTGAAGCCAACCCATCCCAGATCAAAGCGATACAAGAGCTGGAGCGCCCGGATTCTACAAAGGACGTGCAACATCTTGCCGGGATGGCAGTTGCGCTGAACAGATTCATCAGTCGGTCTTCGGATCGTTGCAGGCCCTTCTTCAAAACTCTGAAGTCCAAGTTCTTCTGGGATGAAGAGTGCGACCGTGCACTGGCGGACTTAAAAGCGTATCTCTCCTCAGCCTCAATTTTGGTCACGCCTCAGCCGGGCGAAGAGCCGTACCTCTACTTGGTTGTTTCCCAACACGCGGTGAGCGCGGTATTGATTCGTGCTGAAGGCATCCAGCACCTGCCAATCTTCTATGTAAGCAAGACCCTGCTCCCGGCCGAAACAAGATATCTTCCCTTGGAGAAATTGGCGCTGGCCCTAATGATGGCGTCGAGAAAGCTGGCACACTATTTTCATGCCCATACAATAGTTGTGCTGACCGAATTCCCTCTCAAGGTGCTCTTTGAGAAGGCCGACTTCACCGGGAGGATTCTGAAGTGGGCCGTGGAATTGGGGCAGTATGACATCAGGTTCCGCCCGCGCACTGCTGTCAAAGCTCAAGCTCTTGCAGATTTTGTGGCGGAATTTGCCCCTGGGACGCATCCAGTTTGCCCGATTGATTTGGTTGGTGCGGATTTAGCACAACCCAAGGTTTTGGCAACGGAGACGAGCACTGGCTCACACGTGGGAAAAGGGCAAAGTTTGACCGAACTAGTAAAGTCCGACAACTCGTTGGAAGATGAACCCAATGGAGACAAGGAAAAAGACCAGAACGAGCCGGCCAGAGACATTGAATTGAGAAGCTCCCCAAACCCATCTGATTGTTGGAAGCTGTTCATTAGCGAGATGTGGAAGCTCTTCGTTGATGGAGTGTCCAACAGGCATGGGGCCGGGCTGGGAATTGTGCTGACCTCACCAGATGGGCTGATTATTGAGCAAGTAATTACGCTTGGATTCCCGGTGTCCAACAACGAGGCAGAGTATGAAGCCTTCCTCGCCGGTTTGAGAAGCGCATTGAGAATGAAAGCCACCGCCCTTATGGTCTTCAGCGACTCCAAGTTGGTGGTCAATCAGGTATCAGGGGAGTATGAGGCAAGGGATGGAAGAATGTCCAAGTATCAAGCATTGGTGCGGGAAGAAATCAAGAAGTTCCCTGCGATAAGAGTGGAACAGATCAACTGCGAAGAAAACAACTCGGCTGACGAATTGGCTGGGCTCGCCTCCACTCAGACAGCTTTTCCTAACCCCTTGATGATAGAGTTTTTACCTCGGCCAAGCATTGACGAACCGGAAGCAACTGAGGTGCTCTGCACCGACTTGGGTCCTTCCTGGATGGATCCCATCATCGCTTTCTTAAAAGACAGAGTTCTACCGGAAGAAAAGAAGGCAGCCCACAAAATTCGAGCAAAGTCAGAGCAGTTTTGGCTCTCCCCATCTGGAGCCTTGTATAAGAAGTCCTTCACCGGGCCGTATTTGAAGTGTGTCCACCCCGCCAAAGTGGAGACTTTTCTCTACGAGATACATGAGGGCATCTGTGGAAGCCATACTGGGGGCTGGTCCTTGGCATACCGAGCAATTTCCCAAGGTTACTGGTGGCCGTGCATGCAGGCGGACGCACAGAAATATGTTCGCAGGTGTGAGAAGTGTCAGAAGTTTGCTCACCAGATCCATCAGCCGGCTAGAGATTTGCTCCCTCTCACAAGTCCTTGGCCGTTCGCGCTTTGGGGATTGGATATTGTTGGACCACTCCCAGCAGCGCCGGGCAATCGCAAGTTCTTCATCGCCGCCACCGACTACTTCACCAAGTGAGTGGAGGCCGAGCCACTGGCGACCATAAAGGAAAAGGATGTGAAGAAGTTTGTTTGGCGAAATGTCATTACTCGCTTCGGTATACCCAGGGCCCTCGTCTCAGATAACGGCACTCAATTTGATGGGAAGCTCTTTTGCGGATTTTGCGAAGAGTTGAAGATCGAGTTCTATAATTCGACGCCGGCCTATCCTCAGTCTAACGGTCAAGCAGAGGCCTCAAACAAGACCATCTTGGATGGGCTAAAGAAGCGGCTTGAAAAAGCCAAGGGGAAATGGGCTGAGGAGCTTCCCAACGTGCTCTGGGCATACCGCACTACCCCAAGAAGGTCGACCGGGGAAACACCATTCACTTTGGCCTACGGCATGGAGGCAGTCATCCCATTGGAAATCGGCATGCCAACCATCCGCTCTGAAAGTTTCCAGCCTGATCTGAATAATGAAGCCGTGGCATCGAAATTAGACCTTGCCGAGGAAAGAAGGGAGCGGGCACTAGTCCACATCGCAGCTTATCAACAAGAACTCTCTAAGAAATACAACAAGGCGGTGCACCCCAGGCTATTCAAGGTTGGAGACTAGGTTTTGAGAAAGGTGCTAGGCAACACGGTGGTCCCAAGCGAAGGAAAGCTTGGTGCGAATTGGGAAGGACCATACAAGGTGATTGGTCTAGCTGGCAAAGGGGCATACCATCTGGAAGATTTGGATGGCAAGGCTGTCCCCAGACCATGGAATGCAGCCAACCTTAAGGTTTTTTACTTTTGAATTGTAATTTGCTTATGTTGTTTAAGCTTTTCCAGGCCCTTAGCCTCTTGGCACTAGATGTAAAAGATAGCAATGCTTTTGTAATAAAAATAGCACTCTTGTTTGGTATTACATCTCTGTACAATGAAATCGCAAGGATACAAGGCAGTCATGGATGCCAGGGGCAAGGAGACCTCCCTGAATGAGGCTGGTCAGATTTCATCTCGCTGGAATGGAGACAGGCCGCACAAAAAGTTTGCGTAGGGAAAAAGTTCGCATTAGCCTAGGGCCGAGCTGGTTTCCCTCGCCCGGTCGAAATGTTGGCGTCATGACCAACCTAGCTGAAACATTGGTGTTTTGCCCAATGTAAGGGCCGAGCTGATTTTGCTCGGCCCGGTCAGCATATTGGTGTCTTGTCCAATATGTTAAACGAGCGGATTTTGTTTGGCAGAATTTCTCGGTGCTGGCGTTTTGTCCAATCGATAAGAGGCCGAGCTGCCTTGGCTCGGCCGAAAGGAAATGTTGGCAGCTTAACCAACTCACAAGGCAAGCTGATTTTTGCTCGGTCTCATTGATGTTATGGAAATGTATGATTCTGCAAACATTTCAAACTGAGCGGATTTTGCTCGGCCCAGTTACAATGTCAGCTCATTCAAATTTTCAAGGAGCTGAGCTGCCAGATATGTTGGAAAACGTTCTGGGTGATTTTAGCTTGGCATATTACGCGGCTCAGCCGACCTGCCAGTTGTGAATTATCAACATTTAAATCGAGACATTTATATACAAGCCAACCGAAAAGAAATAGACGATATACGAACAAAAGGTTCAAAAGTTTCATTGATTGAAGAAGATTCAGTACAAAGGTGGGGCCTAGCCCGGTTACATAAAAAAAAAAAAGAAAAAAAAAAGAAGGGAAATTATCAATCCATTTCAAGATGGACAGTCTGTCCGGCTACCTCCACCGTCTGCTCGGCCATATCAATTGTCTGCTCGGGCAAGTTTTCCTCGGCGTCGTCGTCAGCACTATCCCCCACAGCAACATCCCGATCAGCCACTCTGTCATCTTGAGATGCTTCGGCAGTAGTTTGCTCGGCTTGTTGCGCGGCGGCGGCTTCTTCCTCGGCCTCCTTCCTTGCCTCCGCAATGAGCCGGTTTTGGGTAGCATTGGCGTAGGCCTGCATATAGACCGGGATATATGCTACAGGGGGGTCCACAAACATTTCGGCATCCTGACCAAGGCCAACTTTTTCCACGGCAGCCTTCCAGCCGCACTGGAAAAAGATGTCCTTGGTCGCTTGGACTTGGCGCTCGTAGGTTCTCTCCCCCTGCTTATATCCACGGTCCTCTGCCTCATCGACCGCTTTGTCCCTTTCTTCTTTATGGGTGTCGCGTAGCTTCCGCAGCTCGGCGAGATACCGAGCTTTCATCGACTTCACGGCTCATTGTTTTTCCTCGCTAGCTCGGTCGACTTTTTGGAGCAAGGTATCTCGCTCCGCCACGACTGCTTCTTGCGCGGCCTTGAGTTTTGCTATCTCGCCTTTCTGGGCCTCGTTCTCCGAGATGGCATCGCGCAGGCTTTGCCGCACTTTGATCATCCGGTCGTGGGCCAAGTAGTTCTTTTGCGCGGCCTGAAAACCGGTGAGCGATCGTTAGTACTTGAAAAACTGCGCAAGAACCGAGCAAACAGTTTGACATAAGAAAATGGAGAACTTACCAGCACTATGGATTTCGCTGCCGAACGGAGGACCTTGAGGTCAGACAGCTCGTCATGTTTTTTCATATCGGTGGGCAAGATTAACCCCTTGGTCAAATTGAAACCAAGCGAGTAATCTTTGTCCGCGTAGACGGAGTCCTCAGAAGAAACTGCCCGGCCCTGGTATTTGAACTTGGGCGCCCAGACCGGGGGGGTGGCTGGGCTCTTGCCCTTGGATTTGCCGGCCAGCGGTTGCTCGGTCCAGTCCCCCTGTTCGGTTGAAGCGACCTCAGTTGAATCTTCATTAACGAGGTTTTGCCCGGTCATCTCCTTCCTCGTCATTTTCTTTGATCGGCTAGCCAGTTGTTCGCTGGCAAGAGCAAGCACAGCTCCTTCTGTTTGCCCGACTGGGGTTGAGGATGTTCCCCTGGTCGCCTCTGGAGGTTGGGACTCCCCTTCCTCTCCAGTAATCATCGATTTGATCGCCCTTATCTTGGCCATTTCTTGCTCGGCTATAAGGGGGACGAGTCTGATTGGTGGCAAGTTGGGATCTGGTTCAGGGGATGGCGCACGTAGGAAGTCAGTGACTCTGCTCTTGCGCGGCGCTTGGTAATGGTAGGTTTGGTCGAAACCGAGAAGTTTTGATGCCTCCCTCTCCTCGGCTGGATGGCGAAGCAGGACTCTGATGGCCTCTTGGTTGGCCTGGTGGTAGTCCGCTGCTAGGTACTTATCTGCAGAAAGGAGGTAAGTGTTAGACCGGTGCAAAATTATAATAATGAAATTCAGAAAGAGGATAGTGCGGTCAGCCGGGCTACTTACCAGCACTGCCAAAATTTTTCCTAATGTACCAACCCGATATGGGCGCCTCGGTGTCCTCGTAAGCACCGGACACCCAGAGGAAGTCGTCGTCGTTAGTTTTTTTGTCTGGGTTGCCTTCAATGAGTTTTGCTCGGCCCTTCTTGACTTTGAGGTACCAGCAAAGCCCACTCTTATTTCTACTTAGGCTATATTGGTGGAAAATTTCTGCAAGACCGAGATTTAAACCTAGCCTCCGGTTCAGCTCGGCCACGCCGTTTATTATTTTGTATGTGTTATTTGAAACTTGGGTCGGGCAAAGCCTTGTCTGCCTCAAAAACTCACAGATCAAAGGCTGGACCGGGAAGCGGAGCCCTCCCTCTACTATTGACACGACCGTGAAGGGACACCGGTCTAGATCTCCTTAAGGGGTGTCTCCCTTTTTAGCGAGCTCTAAGATGACGTCATCTGGGATGTTGTAATCCTTGTGAAATTCGGCCATCGCACCGGGCGAGCTTACCATATAGCGGTACTTCCCCATTTATCTCGGTCTTGTTTGATAAAGTGTATCTCGGTCAAAATTTTTTTGGGTCTGATCGGACTCTGAGCTCCACCAGTTAGTGCTGGACTGGCTTGGTCGGTCCTATTTGTTCTGCATTGTTAAAAAATAATTCCAAGGGTTAGCGCGGCATAAATTGCACGGCCCCTATAGGAATTGGCTCAGTGAAGGGATTATTGGTGTTTGGTCGGTTCGACCCCTACCTCGGGTATTCTACTTGGTCGATTTCCTAGTTCGGTTCTAATTCTTCGAAGCTGGCTCAGTTAAAGTTATAGCTCGGTCGTTTCTATTTGACGAGTTAACCCGGTCAAGGCTTAATTAACGAGCTCAAGTTTTCGCCCGGTTCAGTACTATTACCAAGTTTTAATCGGTAGTTTGGCTTGGCTACAACCTCTACGACAAGTCACAAACGAGTTTTCGCTCGGCCGGTGCGTCATTTATGGATCTAAACGAGCATTTTGCTCGGCTCTACCCAGATTCAAACTGTTCATCCCAGAAATAGGAAGAACTCGTTCGAACCTAGGAGGAACAGGGGGCATGAAAGCCCCATCCTTCCCTACTATTCTTGTTTGCCCTAGGGTGTGCGAGATCTAAGCAAGGAAATGAAACTCAAATGGCCCCGAAAATAAACAAAAATAAACATGGAGAACACGAAGCATAAAAAGGTGAAAAAGTAGAAGAACTCAAGTACGAGAGCTTGAAGAAAGAATGGGAGGACTTACCAAATACAGGTTGCGAGGGCAGGGCCTCTCGAGCTTGGCTGTGGCTTCAAGAGAAACTAAGGATGGAAGCGGAGGCAGGCGAGACGTAGCGGCAGTCAGGGGAAGTTCTCAGAGAATATGGAAGGCTAAGGTTTAGGGCTTGTGTGGAGGAGAAGGAAAAGTGAAGGGTTTAGGCCCTTCGTTGGAATACAAAAGTGGGGGGAAGGAGCCCAAACGGCTGCGCCGTTTGAATTTTGCGCGTGCAGAGCAGCTAGCTGTACGACCCAGTGGCGTGAAGCCACGTGGCACTGAAAATGCGGCTGTTAGTATGGTTGTACGACCCTTGATGAGACTGGGGAGGAAATAGCCGACCAAGCAGGACAGCTCGGCGACAGATTTGCCCCAAATCATGCTCGGCTTGTTGATGAAGCAACTCAATCCGTTAGCTCGATAACCCCAGTCACGACCAGGTCGGATGGGGTTAAGGGGCAATTGAGAGGGGAGATTTGCGCCGCTAGTACGGCCGAGCAGGGATTGGACGGGTCTGTTTTGCTCGGTCTCAAGGATTGGCTGACCGGGCGGAAACCTAGCCTGGCCGAGCTGCGACTAGCAAATATTCGGCGGTGCGCACAACTAAGAGGCGAGACCGAGCTACGGATAGCTCGGGCTGAACTGTGGACAAGGGAGGGAAGACGCGTCTCTGACCGGTGAGCCGAGATGGGAAGATTCAATATAACCTCGGATGAAGGCAGAGCGGACGGGGGCCGGCATGCCTCGCGACTGGTATGCCACGACGAACCGGTCAACTCCAGCTCGGTCCATGGGCGTCCCTCCGCCGCCCCTTTGCGAAGGGGCAGTCCGGTGGGGCATAGCGCGGTTGAGCGCCTGTAGCGATAGTTCTTCTTGGGAAATAGGCCGGTCGTGGTACTGTGGTCAGGTGTGCCACCTGGGCCAATGGCACGAAGGAAGGGACATCTGCTCCACATATGCCTCAATACCGTTAGGCAGTTCTGCATGTACTGTTGGGAGGACTAAGCCTTTACACGCGTAAGGTGGTGAGAGGCGAGTACTGCCACCTGTCCAGGGAAGG